TGATCAAACAATTGGTTGGTTAGTTGATTAAAGAGCAACTAAATTAAACTAAGTAATAGCAAAAGAGTGCAATTAAGAGTAAGTAAGAGAGAGAAGAGTCTTGGGGTTTAGAGATTACCACTAAGCAATGCATTTCTATATTATTGACAAGTGATTAATGAGGGCAATTAGGATGTTGCAATATTGGTGTGTGTGTATTTGGCTGATTCAACAAGCATGGATGACTAGTTAAGCATGTATTGTCTAAACATCGTGTGAAAGGCACAATATATCTAAGCAATGAAACATATATTGTCTAAACAATATGTGAAAGGCACAATAAATCAAAACAAGTCATTAATCCTTTCATTAAGCTCACAATCCAAATACAACACAAAATTAGAGACATATGCTACTTGTATTCAAAAGCTTGGAATACCAAACAACAAGCATGGATTGTCCTCCCATTTAACACTACTCTACAACTACACTAAGTCTACACTACTAGCATGAAAGTAAACTAGGGGAGAGGAACAATCCATCAAGGAATAAGCATGAACCATCAAGAGAATCACAATAGCATTCCTTTAAGCACTATGTTTTGACAATCTCTAAATCTATGGCATCAATACACATAGACATGTATCAACAACACAAAATCTAGAGACAAGAACATGAACATCTTATTCTAGCAAACATAGACATATGGATAGAATGAAATGATCAATTGAAAGCATTAAACCACATAAATCATTGAATAAACAAGATCTATACATATCAAAGTGTCAAAACATTAATTACAACACTAATCCCTTAATAATATACAAGATAAAGATATAGAAAGCATGCTTGGGGCTAACTCTAGCCTCAAGAGGATGTCTAGCCACTCATGGTGGGGATGCTCCAACCCTCAAGGGCTAACTCCATGGAGGAGGTTTGCTCCTTGTTGATGAAGATCTCCAATGGTGTCTTTAGCCTCCTCCTCCTCTAAACTTCCTCTCCAAGAGATGATATCAAAAATAATGTTGGCTCCCCTTGAAAAAGCAATCCTTATCCTTATATAAGTAGGTCAAAATGACACCCAAAATGAGCTGGGGTCGTGCACACAATATTCCCTAATGATTGGATAAAAGACAACTTTCAATGGATGGAATTTTAACTTTTTCGCACTGGAGGAAGTTCGATCGATCGAACCTTGACTTTGGATCGATTGAACTTACTGAGATCGATCATACTGAGGCTGGATCGATCCATCTAGCTGAGCTTTTTGGGAAAAAGACAAATCTGAGATATTTTGGGAGATATTTTTGGGAAAAGGACAAAAGTGGTTAGTGGGTGGACAGCTACGGATAAGATCAATTATTTGGATAAGGACAAAGGGGTTGGATTGATCGAAGGATGGTGTTGGATCGATCGAACTTTATGCTTTTGGGCCAAGGCTTGGATCTATCAAGAAATGCTGAGATCGATCAATGTTCGATCGATCGAACCTTGGACTTAGATCGATCGAACTTGCTGCCTTGTTTCCTTTTGCTTCTTCCTTCCTCCACTTTTCTCCTTTCTTTGTTTAATCTCAGAATTGCTTCAAATAAGCTCTTATTTGGCTGAGTTAGCTTATTTTTGGGATAAGTGCCTGAAAATGGAAATAACACGAAATCAATCTAAAACGACAAAGTAAGATAGATAAAGGTACTAGAATGCCTAAGCTTAAGGGGTTTAAATACGCACTTTTCAATGCTCATCACACCCCCAAACTTAAATATTGCTAGTCCCTAGCAATGAACTAGAAAGTAAAGGAATGAAATGAACAATTATACAACTATAACTAGAAAGCAATAAATGGATAACGCCAATTTCGTAGGGAACACGATTGCACTTAACACATGCAACAAGCCTTTTAAACCCCTAGGTTACCCTTAGTGGACGAGTGAAGTCTCGTGAGGGTTTCCAGAAATGGTACCCACAATCATTAAGCTCATTTTTTTTCAAAAAAGGTTCCAATATTGCAAACAAGCATTGGGAGAAACTACCTCAAGTATGCAATTTTTCAACCCTTTCCAAGCAATCTCCCAAAATCTCGACATCAAGAAAGCAAGTATGGTCCTTCACACATCAAGAAAATGGTCATGCAAATCAAAACAACTCTAGAATTCTTTTGAGTGGACCGGCATCAATGTGTTGCTATCTTTGCCAACTAAAGAATTAATCACATCATTACCCTCAAACTAGCACACAAACCTAGTACCGATCATCAAGACAAAAAGTGGACCTTTTTATTAAAGCTTTATTGTTCTAGGTGCGCTTATTCTTTTCACTCATATATATATATATATATATATATATTTTTATTGAGGATCAAAGATGGAAGTATGGTGCAATGTGTTGATCTCTTAAGATTTCTAGTGATTCATGAGATCGAGCGTTAGATCAATGACTCTCAAACCAGACGACTTTAGGGCATTAGGTGTTAAGACACCCCTACGGACTTACAAGCTCAAATCAACCAGGCTACAAATCAAGACAACAACCATCTAATCATTTCCCACTTCTCACCTTTTGGGAGAAGTTCTCACTTTTTATTGCTTTTTTATTTTTTATTTTTTTTAAGCAAGTTCAATTATTAACCTAGAGTTTGGGCCCTCCACCTTTCGGCGCGAGAAGTTCAGTGGTTGATGAGGCTAGAATCCCGGTTACTTAGTGACAAGAGGTTGTTATCCACCTTTATCAAGAATGAAAGCTTTCAATGCACTACTAGTCCAATTGGGATATAACCAATTCAATAATCAATAAAGCATGTCCCCCATAAATGAATGCTAGTGTGCGCCTGTGCTAGTGTAGAATCCTAGAATGAATCTCAAAACAATCATAAAATCAGGATGATGTGGACCATAAATGCAAGCAAGAAATCAATCTTTTGAAAAATTTACTCCTAAATGGCAGTCATAAGGCATACAAGGAGTATTGGACTCTCAAGTTAAGCAATTTTTAAATTTTAAGCAATATAGTCCTCAAAAGATCAAAATCATGGCTAGATATGGACCAATCATAGAAATATCCCTCAAATACACAAGTCATGCTAAAAATTTGAATTTAAAACTAACACTGTAGAGCACCATTCCCCCCAAACTTAAATTGCACAATGTCCTTAATATGCAAAGAGAACAAAGGAAAGAGTATACTAGTGCAGCTAAGCAAGAATGATCGGGACTTAAGTATCGAAGTGGGTGGCATAGCCCCCCTAAACTTCGGATGAACTGTGGTCCTGAAAATTGGCACTTGGATAAACTTATCAGATAACAAAATGGGATAATCAGTACACAGTAAACATACAAGTGTAAATAGGATGAACAGATAACGAAATGAGAGAGGTATAAGAGTGGTCCTGGAAATTAGGTAGCACTCTCTCACTGAAGTCACTATGATGCACCTGATGGAGTCAAACATACAGATATGAGAATACAATCATATGACATCGATAGCAAAAATAGATATATAAAATAGAGAAAGTGCAGGTACAACAAAAATATCAAAGCCGACAGGCTGGCTGTAAGAATAATACAGTAACAATAATAAAGTATCAAAGGGAGAGAGGGATCATAACATAGAAAAGAGTGGGAGCTCAGGAAGATGAGGTGGGAAGGGCAGGTCTGGCTCCGCAGAAGTCTTTAGATAAATCTCTGAACATGGTCGCGACATCCGTGTGGAAGGTAGCGAACTCTGCTCTATGGGCCATGAGGTCAGCTCTGATGGCAACAACAGCGTCCTCGAGCGTCTGCAGACATACTCCAAAGCCGGGGGTCAAGTCTGGTATGGATGAGTCAGAAGACAACTCCTGCTCATGAATAGGTGACCCGGCTGGATAATGCTGAGCTGCGTCATCCACTGAGTGTTCCAAGTCAATGTCTATATCAATGTTATCATGCTCAGCAGCTGGCTCTGCTGGTGCCGGGGCTGCCTATGCTGCTGCCTCCTCCTCTAACTCCAGCTCTGCAGCCGCCAGTATGGCATGGATCTGCAGGCAAGTGATAATAGCTCTGTAGCTTTTGTCCCAGTCCTTCTTGAGGAAGTGACAGGAACCTTTCTCAGGGTCCTCTCGCGGGTGGATAGGATAACGCTGGTCAATGAGAATCTGGGTGATGAGGTGGCTGAATGGAAGAGACTTGGCCCTTCCGGGCACCTCTTTGCTGACGTACTCATCGTAGAGCTTCCTCATCACGCTCCAGATAAGCGCAGGAATAGACACCCAGTGGCCGGTATAGAAGGCGTACAGGGCTGCTAGATAGTCTCCCCGCCTCTGAATTTTGTGTCCCGCCATGTATATGTTTCGGTAGAGCACCGAATCTATAAACCACAGGTTATTCGGTAAGAATATCCGGGTGGCGAAGGTCTCTCCACCAGCATGGTGACCTATGAGAAAAATTGCCATATCGACATAAGAAGGCCTGTGGAGCCTGGGATAAGTCTCCTGAAGCTCTGGCGGGCACCGATGTGGACAGCGAGTTGAACGGGCCAGAGTATCCACTTTAATGGTGATCTCATGGCCATCGATAGAGGTGATGAGCTCGACTGTAGTGCGCGGCGATGATCGGAGGTTCTGGTAGAATAACCGTACCAGTCGCGGGTAAATCGGCTCTGTGACTGAGGCAAGAATAGCTGAGAGGCCCCGCTGAATGATGTCCTGGTAGGCAAATCGAGTCGGCACCGATCTGGAGAAGAATGCAGTGTCGAATGCTGACTCGTGCTCGATAGTCATGTGTGCATATCTAGGCACGAGTCTGTCACGTCGTAGAGGAGTTGGCTGGGCATGTGGAGCCGGTTGAGCTGGCTGCTCAGCGTCTCTATGTGGTGGTGACGGTGATGGAGTAAAGGCTGGATGAGCCGGCGACTGGGGTGGAGTGGGATGTAGTGGCTCCTCTGTATGGGAGGGCTGTGCAGTCTCCCCAGTCCGCTGTCGGACTCTCTACGGTGTATGCTCGGGACTAGGATCCCTGACACGAGATGGACCAGCTCTGTCATCAAGTCTATGGTTGGAGCTGTGACGATGTCTGCGTGCTACTGTCTTGACGCGAGCCATAGTCTGCAAATATAAATTCAAGAGTTAGTGCCAGCATAAATAGAGTATAAAGCATAATATAGAAACATGTATGTCAAATAAGATAGGCAAAACAAGATATGACATGAATCTATGCGAGTGACAGAATACGAAACATGCTCAACAATGTAAGTATGAAATGCATCCAATGTGGAATATCACAGACATTGGGCATATATAAGATAGCATGAACATAAGATAGGATGAATGAAGTGTGTGTATGAGATCTGTGAAATTTGATCGATTAGAAAAAGAAATGAGATCGATCACAAAAGTTGGATCGATCAAAAATTAGGTTGGATCAACCACCAAATTTAGATCGATCGGAAGTTAGTTGGATCGATCTCAAATCTTCGATCGATCATAAATTTGTTTAATCGATCGAACAGTGCGATGAAGAAACCCTACAGTCACAGATCTGTGGCTGTTGAAGCATGGGGCCCACACGAATGAGTTCGTGGGCCCTCCAACAACACAAATGAATCCTAATTCCATCCCAAACATGGCCCAACATCTAAATCTAACCAAAATCCCCAAAATATATACACATATATACACACATATATATATACAAAGACATGGATGCTCAAGCTTGGAGAATGGCAGATTTAACATGAAAATAACACGATTATGTCATTTAGAAACAGCTATTGATGCATGATAGTTCGAATCAAGGGAAGGATGTCTCGGATCTTACCTCAAGAGAATGAAAGATGTGGAGAACGAGCTTATGAAGAACTGAGATGAAGAAGATGAAGATGGACTGAGATTCAAGGTGCTTGGGTCTCACTGGAGTGGTGGCCTGATCCAGGGGAGATGATTTGCAATAGAAGGGAATGAGAGGCTAGGGTTTGATGTGTTGAAATGATCCAGATGATCGATCTCAAGACCCTTGATTCTGTTTTTAAAAACATTTCCCGACTAGTTCGATCGATCGGAGATGGGTTGTGATCGATCGAACTTTAATGAACTCCTTTCAAAGTATTTTTGGATTTTTGGTTTTTTGAAATTTGCTAAAATAAAATTAAACATTAGAAAATAAAGTAAAACAAAATATTTTTGATTTGCTTTAAATTTTTTTTTTTTTGGGATATAATTAATCAAAAACTAAATAAATTAAAATATTTTTGAATTTTTGAAAACTTGTTGAAAATTGAAACAAAATAAAATGATAGTGAAAATTGAATAAAATAAAAATGAAAATATTTTTGGATTTTCAAAAAGTTGAAAAGTCAAAATTATGAAATGTAAGAAATGTGATCGATTGAAATAATAATTCGATCGATCATAGAAAGGTAAGAATGTACAGGTTCTTGGTTCAAAAATTGGCTAACTGCTGGAACTTGAGATTGATCTAACCTCAAGGTTGGATTGATCGAAATATTGTCAGATCAATTGAAAAATTTCCAGATCGATCTTGAATTGAACTCGAACGATGGGACCGAGAGCTGAAATATGCAGGCCCAAAATTTTTCTAAGTGTTGGATGTAGAATGGAGTTCGATTGATCGAACTTGGAAGTTGGATCGATCGAAGATATATGATCGATCTAAGAATGGGTTCGAATGATGGGACCGACAGCTGATTTTGGATGCAGGTGGATGTAGGTTCAAAATTTGGCTAAGTGTTGGAATGAATCCAAGTTCGATCGATCGAACTCCAATGTGAGATCGATCGAACTTTGCCAAATGCTTAATTATGGCATGAAAACTTATGCAATGCTCACTAAAGTTCCTTTCAATGCATGTGAACCTAAAACAAGTATCTAGACTTCGCAAGAAACAAAATGAAAGATAGAAATGGGGGAGGAATAGGGTTTTGAAACCCTACAAATGTCTTTTTGCTAGTCTTTTATGTCTCTAGCAAGACATTGGGCTCTTTTAGCCCGGATCAAAGATCTTGTAGTGCATCCCCTCCTAGTTGGGGTGATGAATGTTTTGAACTCTACCCAACAAATGGTCCTTTGAAGAACTTGTTGGATCAAGCTCAAAAGAGGCTTTTGATCATTTGTCTATGTCATCAAAACTTTTGGGGTTCCATGCTCTTTCAAAGTAAGAGTTTGAAACAAGACTTTTAGAATGCAAGGTTGAAGATGATCCTTTGGACGTTTTGGTTTTACACGAAAGCTCATTTCCTTGGCAATGAAGATCATAACATTTTTCTACAACATTGACCTCTCCTTTATACTTGTCAAGTGAATTGGGTGTGGGATTAAAGATATTCAACTTCACCTTCATGCGGCCAAATGAAATCTTCATTATCCCCGTCTTACAATTTATGTTGGCATTAGCGGTTACCAAGAAAGGATGGCCAAGGATAACGGGAATTTGGCTCTTAGGATTGGAAACCGGTTCCGTATCAATGACAACGAAATCAACCGGGAAGAAGAATTTATTGATCTTAATCAAAACATCCTCAATGACACCCTTAGGTTTCTTAATGGATCGGTCGGCAAGTTGCAAAACTACCGACGTCGGTTTCAATTCACCTAGGCCCAATTTAACATAGACCGAATATGGAAGAAGGTTAACACTTACTCCTAAGTCAAGAAGTGCCCGATTAATGATATGATCACCAATGATGCATGATGTAGTGGGTGAACAGGGATCCTTAAACTTTGGAAGAGTGTTATGTTGCAAAATTGAGCTTACTTGCTCGGTCAAAACCACTTTTCTTGGTGCTTGGCTCTTGTTCTTTTGCTTTTGGGTGCACAAGTCTTTCAAGAATTTGGCATAAACTAGAATTTGTTTAATTGCATCCAAAAGTGGAAGATTGACTTTCACTTGCCTAAACATTTCCATGATTTCATTGGTTTTTGCCTTTTGCTTATCTTTTGAAATGGACCCTTTTAAGGCATCTGAAAATGGAATCTTTGGTTCAAACACTTTTTCAAAATTTTCTTTTGAAATCTCTTCAACACAAGACGTTTTCGAATCATTTTGTTTCAAATCATTTTTCAACAAAACTTCTTTCTCAACATTATTTTTCAAGACTTCTTTGTCAAACACATTTTTTAAAATTTTCCCATTTGCAAGATCATGTGTATGCAATGAAGGAGGAATGTGATGTGAAATGGGACGGGTGACAACTTGAGGTTGCACCGGTTCACTCTTTTCATTGGACATTTCAACTTGATTGTCCATAACTCTACCACTCTGCAAGGTATTCACTGCGTTAACATGTTCAATGGTATGGCCTTCCGATAAGGAATGGGTTTCCACAACACATTGTTGTTTAAGTGGGGCATTAATGGGCATCTTTCCCTTTTCTCTTGCATTGAGAGTGCTTGCTATTTGCCCTACTTGGGTTTTTAGCTTTGCAATAGATTGAGAGTGAGAATGAAGCAATTGAGTGTTAGCCTAAAGAGTCCCCAAAGCATTTAAAACTTTTTCTTCAAAGGCGGGACTTCTAGTGTTTCCTTGGGAATAAGATTGGTTGGGAAAATGAGAATTAGCAAATTGATTCCTTTGTGATTGATAAGGTCTATAACCTTGGGATCCTTGGTTTTGAAGTGGAGGTGGAATGTATTTCCCTTGGAAACCGCCTTGGGAAGGGTTTAAGCCTTCTCCTTAGTTTTTCCAAGAGATATTCTGATGAGTCCTCCAACTTGGATTATAATGAGTACCATAAGGATTGTTCCCTTGGTTTACAAAAGCCGCATTGACTTGTTCATTAGGTTCATTATGCACTTGTCCATGAGAACAATGAGAAGTAGAATGAAGAACACTAGAACAAGTCATACATGTTTCATTTGATGCACGATGTGAATGGTTAGGAAAGGAAGATACTTGGTTCGCCGAGTTTTGGTTAATCAAAAATTGATCAAACCTTTGAGACAAAGACTTCATTTCGGCTATTTCATTTGAATGTTCGACTTGATGTAAGCCTACACTCTTCTTACCTTGTGAATTTCTACCATTCTTGGATGATAGTGTTCTATGCAAAGAATTTTCACTCATGCTTTCATAAAGAAGCCACACGTCGTCCTCATGCATATCAATGTAAGAGCCACCCATGGAAGCATCAACCATACCCTTATAGTTGTCCAATAAGCTTTCAAAGAAGTATTTAACTAATTGCCATTTAGGCATGTCATGATGTGGACACTTCCTAAGCAATTCATTAAAGCGTTCCTATGCCTCATGAAATGTTTCTCCATCCCCATATGAAAATTCTCGAATTGAGGTCCTCATGGCATTGGTCTTAGAAATCGGATAGTACTTCTTCAAGAACTCTTGTTGCATTTCCACCCAAGAAGTGATTGAAAAAGGCCTAAGATTGTTAAACCAATACTTTGCCTTGTCTTTTAAGGTGAATGAAAAAATTTTGAGTCTTAAAACCACTTCCTGCATGTCCGTATATTTTATGGTGGAACATACTTCAAGAAACTCATCCAAATGTTTGTAAGGTTCTTCACTAGGAAGTCCAGGAAAGTTAGGAAGCATTTGAATAGTTTGTGCTTTAATTTCACAATGATGTGTTCTAAATGGTGGCAATTGAATGCATATGGGTGCATTGTATTCATTAGGCACATAGTGATCTCTTAAAGCAAGAGGTGGATTAGCTACTTGAGATGCAACATGAACACCTTGGTTATGAATTCCTTGATTAATGACGGAAGGTTGTGGAGCATACATTGGCCTTGGTATTCCATACGGAACTTGGCCTTGTTGTTGTGGTGGTTGGATGAATGGCCTTGGCATACCTAATGGTACTTGCATGTTTTCATTGTGCACATTGGGATGAAGGATACCTTGTTGGTTTATGTGACCAATGTCCTCAGTATGGTCATCATTATGGTCATCCATTGATAGATTGGTTCTATTTGAACTTCCTCTTCCCCTAGGATTTCTAACGATAGATTCAAGATGCAAATCAAGAGGGGCAAGAGTTGGTCTGAATGAACGACGTTTATTCATGCACAATGCAAAACAACAAACACAAAGAATGACAAACTTTTCAACTTTACAACAATGCAATTAAACTTCCTCCACAAACATTTAGCCCATGTTCCTACGCTTTAACAAAGATGATGCAAAGAACAATAAAATTGCCTCCACGCGGGCTCACGATTTATCTAAGAATTGAATTACAAGCCTCCACGCGGGCCGACGATTCAACTAAGGAATTGAGTAAAGAAAGTTTTACAAAGGTCCTTTAACACTTCAACTCCAAATTTCAAAGCTTAGCTTAGCAAATATTTTTTTTTATTTTTTTAAAAGTTTTTAGCATTTTCCCTTTCTTTGCTTGCTTGAATTGAATGCTCAATGGCTCCTTTGCTTGCTTCCTCTCCAACAATGCACCTAGTTATATAAGAACAACACAATAAGTAACCAAAAAGAAAAATAAAAATAAAGTAAAAACACGATCAAAAGAGTACTAATCCTAATCAATTTCACAAATTCGACGTTGCCAAATCTAATCAACAAATCCCCGGCAACGGTGCCAAAATTTGACGGGACTACTAGTGGCCGTTCCTTACATGCCAAAATTGATGTAGTGAATGTGCGGTTCAAGGAAAGCTTTTTGGGTCAAGTTTAAATTTATAAAAACCACTACCAACACTACTACTAACGTAGCAAGAGTAAGTAGGGATCGTCCTAAGGGATTATGGGGATTGAGCAATGTCAGAGTTGATTGTAGAATCACAATTAGGGCTAGCAGGTCGAGTGATCAAACAATTGGTTGGTTGGTTGATTAAAGAGCAACTAAATTAAACTAAGTAATAGCAAAAGAGTGCAATTAAGAGTAAGTAAGAGAGAGAAGAGTCTTGGGGTTTAGAGATCACCACCAAGCAATGCATTTCTATAGTATTGACAAGTGATTAATGAGGGCAATTAGGGTGTTGCAATATTGGTGTGTGTGTATTTGGTTAATTCAACAAGTAAGGATGACTAGTTAAGCATGTATTGTCTAGATATCATGTGAAAGGCATAATATATTTAAGCAATGAAGCATATATTGTCTAAACAACATGTGAAAGGCACAATAAATCAAAACAAGTCATTAATCCTTTCATTAGGCTCACAATCCAAATACAACACAAAATTAGAGACATATGCTACTTGTATTCAAAAGCTTGGAACATCAAACAACAAGCATGGATTGTCCTCCCATTTAACACTACTCTACAACTACACTAAGTCTACACTACTAGCATGAAAGTAAACTAGGGGAGAGGAACAATCCATCAAGGAATAAGCATGAACCATCAAGAGAATTATAATAGCATTCCTTTAAGCACTATGTTTTGACAATCTCTAAATCTATGGCATCAATACACATAGACATGCATCAACAACAGAAAATCTAGAGATAAGAACATGAACATCTTATTCTAGCATACATAGACATATGGATAGAATGAAATGATCAATTGAAAGCATTAAACCACATAAATCATTGAATAAACAAGATCTATACATATCAGAGTGTTAAAACATTAATTACAACACTAATTCCTCAATAATACACAAGATAAAGATATAGAAAGCATGATTGGGGCTAACTCTAGCCCCAAGAGGATGTCTAGCCACTCATGGTGGGGATGCTCCAACCCTCAAGGGCTAACTCCATGGAGGAGGTTTGCTCCTAGTTGATGAAGATCTCCAATGGTGTCTCTAGCCTTCTCCTCCTCTAAACTTCCTCTCCAAGAGATGATATCAAAAATAATGTTGGCTCCCCTTGAAAAAACAATCCTTATCCTTATATAGGTAGGTCAAAATGACACCCAAAATGAGTTGGGGTCGTGCACACAATATTCCCTAATGATTGGATAAAGGAAAACTTTTAATGAGATGGAATTTTAACTTTTTCGCACTAGAGGAAGTTCGATCGATCGAACCTTGACTTTGGATCGATCAAACTTGCTGAGATCGATCATATTGAGGCTGGATCGATCCATCTAGCTGAGCTTTTTGGAAAAAAGACAAATCCGAGATATTTTGGGAGATATTTTTGGGAAAAGGACAAAAATTGTTAGTGGGTGGAGAGCTACGGATAAGATCAATCATTTGGATAAGGACAAAGGTGTTGGATCGATCGAAGGATGGTGTTGGATCGATCGAACTTTCGGAACTTTATGCTTTTGGGCCAAGGCTTGGATCTATCAAGAAATGCTGAGATCGATCAATGTTCGATCGATTGAACTTTAGACTTGGATTGATTGAACTTGCTGCCTTGCTTCCTTTTGCTTCTTCCTTCCTCCACTTTGCTCCTTTTTTGGTTTAATCTCATAATTGCTTCAAATAAGCTCTTATTTGGCTGAGTTAGCTTGTTTTCGGGATAAGTGCCCGAAAATGAAAAATAACACGAAATTAATCTAAAACGGCAAAGTAAGATAGATAACGGTACTAGAATGCCTAAGCTTAAGGGGTTTAAATACGTACTTTTCAGTGCTCATCAATCATATATCAAGGTAAGAAGGGTTAAATGAAGAAGAGCTTCTAGTATATTGTGTAATTAGAGTATTCCATTAAGATTGAAAGAGGTGTTTTATAGAACAATTGGACCAAAATCATTTAAAATAATGTAATAAGCAAAATTACCTGGAGCAGCATACCTAAAGGTCCCTGCGAATGAAGTCCAATTAGAAGAGTTAGGATTTAGAAGGCTAGCACTGCCAAAGTCAGAAATGTGAGCCACATATTCAGAATCTAACAAAACATTCTTGTTTGATATGTCCCCATGAACTATAGGAGGCGAACAATCATAATGCATGTGACACAAAGCATCTGTCACATCTTTTACCACATTCGCTCTCTTAATCCATCCAAACTCCGAGGTTTGTTGGTCACTGCTCAAGATCTTTTGCAAACTTCCCCCTTCCAAGAACTCGTAAACCAAAAATGAGTGTTGTGGGTGCGAATAAAAACCATAAAGCCTCACAATATTCCGTTGATGTATTTCTGTTAATGTTCAGATTTCACTTGTAAAACCATTTTGATCAGTAATCCGTCTATCTTCATCTTCAGGGGCATGAAGTTTTTTCACAGCAACAACTAGACCACTCGGCAACTAAGCTTTATAAACACTTGCTGATCCTCCTACCCCAATGCAATGATCAGAGATGAAGTCCTCTGTTACTTCAATGATGTTTTGATACACCAATTTTCCATCATAGCTCCCTATTGTAAATAAATTCTCATTGTTTTCTCTTCTTAGCTCATTTTCTACATTGCCCACTTTCGAGTAAAGAAGATAGAAAATCCCAATAACCAGGAATGAAAGAAGCAAAATTCCTAAAAGAGGAACTATAATCAAAATCACTAGTTTGTTGCCATTCTCTTCATTGCTCATTGTGGTGGCGCAAGCCTTCAAACCAGTGGCATTGCTGCACAAACCTTTATTATTTCTGAATACATTTAACGGAGCCACTTAGAAGGCTTTATTTTTTGAAATAGGACCCTGCAACTAATTGTATGATATATCAACAAAAGTCAAACTTAACATACCTCCAAAAGTCAATGGAATGGATCCAGAAAGCTTATTGTAGGAGAGACTCAATGCTTTTAACTTATCCAATTGTCTAAGTTGGGCTAGGATTTTCCATTTTAGTAAATTGTGGTTGACATTAAGGTTTTCAAGAGAGTGTAAATTCTGCCCAAATTCAAATACAATAGTTTCACGCACTCTCCAAATAGTTCCAGAATTAAGCCCTTTAGATTATTTGCTACCACATTAAGACGTTCCAAGTATGATAACCCACCAATTTCCAAAGGAATGCTGCCTAAAAGTCTATTGTTGCTTAAATCGAGGTCTATTAATGAGGTTAACCTTCCTAAACTCTTTGGAATTTTTCCGTCGAGACGATTTGAATAGATGTGAAGTATACCAAGTTGAGTCGCATTTCCCAATTCAAGTGGTATCTGACCAGAAATATTGTTGTTGGACACTTTTAGGGTCGTTAAATTATGTTACTGGCCTATTTATGAGAAAGCTCACCATACATTTTATTATCACTCAAATTGATATAATCTAATTTTGGATATATGCCGAAATCTTTTGACATATTTCCATAAAGTTGGTCTCTTTCAAGCCTAACTCTGAATAAGCTAGTGCAACTCTTCAAGCTGTTAGGGATTAGACCTGTGAGATGGTTGCCAAATGCAGTGAAATTTACAAATAATCCACCACAGCATATGTTATGTGGTAAATGGTCAGTAAGCTCGTTCCTACTCAACTGCAAGCTTTGCAAATGGGTAAGATTATTAAACGCTATTGGTATAGAGCCAGATAACAGATTTTCGAACAAACCCAAGTCAAAGAGCTTGGTCAAGTTCCCAATAGTGGATAGAATGGATCCAGAGAGTTGATTTTCGTGAAGGTATAACACAGTTAAGTTTCATAAATTCCCTATCGAAGTAGGGATTGCAGTTAAGAAGTTGTTACCGAGCAACTCAAGATCGACAAAAGACCTCAATATTCCAATTTCTTGAGGGATGGATCCTGAAAGTTTGTTGGGAAAAAGATGTAGAAAGGTTAAGTTGACCAAGTTCTTTATTAAAGCAGGTATTAAACTTGAGAAGTTGTTATAGGACAAATCAAGATCGATAAGAGACCTCAACATTCCAATTTCTTAAGGGATGGGTCCTGAAAGTTTGTTGGTAAAAAGATACTGAGTGGTTAAGTTGACTAAGTTTTTTACCAAAGTAGGTATTGAACCTCAGAAGTTGTTTTTGGACAACTCGAGATTGACAAGAGACCTTAACATTCTAATTTCTTAAGGGATGGGTCCTGAAAGTTTGTTGGAAAAAAGATGCAGAGCGGTTAAGTTGACCAAGTTATTTATAGAAGCAGGTATTGGACTGAGAAGTTGTTCTTGTACAAATTGAGATTGACAAGAGACCTCAACATTCTAATTTCTTGAGGGATGGATCCTGAAAGTTTGTTTAAAAAAGGATACAAAGTGGTTAAGTTAACTAAGTTCTTTATCGAAGCAGGTATTGAACCTGAGAAGTTGTTCTTGGACAAATCAAGATCGACAAGAGACCTCAACATTCCAATTTCGTGAGGGATGGGTCCTGAAAGTTTGTTGGTAAAAAGAGAGTGGTTAAGTTGACCAAGTTCTTTATTGAAGCAGGTATTGAACCTGAGAAGTTGCTCTCGAACAACTCGAGATCAACAAGAGACCCCAACATTCCAATTTCTTGAGGGATAGATCCTGAAAGTTTGCTGGAAAAAATATATTTAGTGGTTAAGTTGACCAAGGTCATTATCGAACCAGGTATTGAACCTAAGAAGTTGTTCTTGGATAACTCGAGATTGATAAGAGACCTTAACATTCCAATTTCTTGAGGGATGGATCCTGAAAGTTTGCTAGAAAAAAGATGCAGAGTCGTTAAGTTGACCAAGTTCTTTATTAAAGCAGGTATTGAACCTGAGAAGTTCTCGGATAAATCGAGATCGACAAGAGACCTCAACATTTCAATTTCTTGGGGGATTGGACCTAAGAAGTTGTTCCTTGATAACATAAGATCGATAAGAGACCTTAACATTCCAATTTCTTGAGGGATGGGTCGTGAAAGTTTGTTGTTATCAAGATACAAAGTGGTTAAGTTGATCAAATTCTTTATAGAACAAGGGATTGGACCTGAGAAGTTATTCCACTGGAGATCGACGACCTTAACATTCCATTTTCTTGAGGGATGGGTCCTGAAAATTTGTTGTTATTAAGATACAGAGTGATTAAGTTGACCAAATTCTTTATAGAACAAGGGATTGGACATGAGAAGTTGTTTTTGTACAACTGGAGATCGACAAGAGACCTCAACATTCCAATTTCTTGAGGGATGGGTCTTGAAAGTTTGTTGTTATCAGGATACAAAGTGGTTAAATTAACCAAATTCTTTATAGAACAAGGGATTGGACCTGAGAAGTTGTTCATTGACAACATGAGATCAACAAAAGACCTCAACATTCTTATTTCTTGAGGGATGGGTCCTGAAAATTTGTTGTTATTAAGGTACAAAGTGGTTAAGTTGACCAAATTCTTTATAGAACAAAGGATTGGACCTAAGATGTTTTTCTTATGCAACTGAAGATCGACAAGAGACCTCAACATTCCAATTTCTTGAGGGATGGGTCGTGAAAGTTTGTTGTTATTAGGATACAGAAGTGTCAAGTTGGTCAAGTTCCACATTGCAGCAGGGATTGGACCTATGAGATTGTTCATCTCGAGTGGCATTACACTGAGCGACATCAGTTTCCTATCTCATATGGAATTGCTCCAGAGAGAGAATTATTAGAAAAGTCAAGATAGGTGAGCTTGGAAAGGCTAGTGATGTGGTTAGGGATCGTCCCGTATAGTGAATTGTTATGAAGATCAATGCTACAGAGATGGGAAAAGCATGAGAAGTTGAGATAGTGAAGTGTACCTCTTAAACCAACACTTCGAAGATGTATATAGGTGATACTTCCATTACCCTTTTTGCAATGAGTCCCAAACCAATTGTAAGGGTTGCTGCTGGTGTTTGGAGCCTAAGAGGAGAGAATTAGAGATTGGGTGATGAGCGCTAAAAAGTGCGCATTTAAACCCCTTAAGCTTGAGTATTCTAGGACCTTTGTTTATCTTATTTTTTCGTTTTAGACTAATTTCGTGTTATTTCCTTTTTTAGGTCAATAAAGTTAAAATGAGCTAGAAATGGTTTCTTAAGGCCTTTTTGGAGTTAAACTAAGTCTTGGTGAAAATTTGGAGCAAAAAGAGGTTGATTTGGAACAAAAGGAGGCTAATGCTGAAAAACTGCCAAGTGAGATCTATCGTAGAAAGTTGGATCGATCGAATCAAGATCGATCAAAAGTTGGATCGATCGAACCCAGATCAATCAAAAGTTGGATCAATCAAAAATGTGCTGGCAGCGAGCTGTCTTATTCCCGCGCGCCCGAACTTCACCTACCAAAAAGTTGCGGGATTAGATATTTTTGGGGCTATATTTCTGACTAAGTGGCTAAGAAAAGGACCTTGTATTTAAAGGGAATTGAACCATTTTGTAGAGATCTTTTCATCATTTTATTTTTACATTATAATTTTATTCCCTCTCTCTCTAGAAAAGTTAGAGATTAGGGTTAGAAAAAGAGAGAAGAGTGGAGGCTCCAAGAACACATCTCAACATCTACACACACTCTCTCTCTAGAATTCAATAAAGAAGAAGAGGAAGAAGATTGAGCCATGTTTAGGGATTGCCCTTGAGGGTTCCAAGATCACATCTACCTCCTCCATGATTGGCTAGAATTCTCCTTGGGGCTTGGATGAGCCCCAAGTTTATAATCTAAACCTCTATCTTTTTCATACTTTTTGGGGAATAATATCTTGTGATTAATGTTCTAGCCTTGTGAATTTAATGAATCTTGGTATATTTCTATGATTTCTATGGTTTAATCATTCCTATTAATTCTCTAATTTATTTGCATGTCTATGCGTGATTAAATTGGGAATTATATCTCATATGATTCATATGGATTAATTCTTTCTATTGATTCTCTATATGATTACATGTTGTCTTATGTGTGATTATTTGGGAATTGATCTCTACACTAGTTTTTTCATATTAATTGCATGTCTATATGTGGTTGATTGAGAATCTAGTGATGGCTAAACATGGTTTTTATTAGATGGGTTTGTCAATTAATTTGATGGATTATTCTTATGCTTGATGGGTTGTTCTATAATTTAATTCATGCTTGTAGGTAGGTAGACAATCTTTACTTGATTTGATATTCCATGGCTTATTATTGCAAATTTCATGATTCTCTAGATTGATGTGTGCTACAATTGTGATTAGTTTGATGGGTTATGCTTAGAATTGATGGGTTGTTCTACACTTAGTTTATTTGTTGGTTAGGTAGACGATTCATACATGAATTTGATGGTCCATGCTTAATATTGCAATTGGTAGTAGCATTTTGTTCACAAGAATGTTTTCCCCAAAGTAGTTGAAAGTGTGTGGTTTGGTGAACAAGCTTGGTGGCAATTCCAATAGACCCTAAGCTCTCACTTCTCATCTCTTAAATCCCTATCTCAACTTAGTTTTATTTTACTTGTATTTTAATTAATTGTTTTCTAGAGTAATCAACCAATCTCTCATTGTAATCAATTGATACATTAGAGTCAAAGTTAAATTCCAACACGTATAATCTCTGTGGATGATCCCTACTCGCTATACTTCATTAGTTGTAGCAGTAGTTTTTATAAATGTAAATTTGACTAGAAAGGCTTCTTAAAACACAATCATATTTTGACCTTGTGAAACGACCTCTCGCATTAAAAAATCCATTTTCTAAACACATAGGAAGGGGCTCGTCAAATTTTGGTGCCGTTGCCGGGGATTAATGGTTTTGTTGGAATTAAACTAGCCAATAGTGTTCATTTGATTGCTTCTATTTTTATTTTATTTTTCATTGTATATTCGTTTCTCATTCTTGATATTATTTGTCAATTAGGTACTTGACTAGAAGGAAGACAATCTTTGGAACTTAAAGCAATCATTGGAGCTTAAAGCTAAAATTAAAATTTGAAGTTGCTTTAGGACTTTTGTGAGCAATTCTTGAAACTCTTGTATTTTACTTGTACACTTCTTTGTATGCTTATGATAGCCATTGTTGAAGCTCATTATATTGCCTAAATTTTTTTCTAAGCATCGGCCCGTGTGGAGGCCAATATTTTCTTGCATTTGGATTTTAATTGTGAATGGAGAAATTGTTTGATTTAAGTTTGGGGGGGAACTTCTTCCTTTCACCTTATGCTCCTCCATCATATTTTAATCCTTATGATATTGAGTCCAATTTATTTTAACATGCATCATCTTATTATGGACTTGATCACTCTTTTGATCTTCCTTATGACTATTACCCTCCCTTACCATTTTATGATGAACCAACTCCACCTTCTAGGTACTTACCCGGATTTGAAGAAAAAGTGTTAGCTTTACTTGATGTACATATTTTACAAACTCCACTTATTAATTATCATTCTCAAATGTTAGCCAAGTTAGAAGCTCAAGTTGAGCAAATTGTAAGTATTCTTTCTCGTCAAGAGGAGGAGGAAGAGGCAAATGAAAAAATGGCAAGAACTTCAATGTATATAGATGAGGATGATGAGAGGGAAGAGGAGGATGATACAAGTGAGCTAATGCCTAGCACTCTATCTTGTATAGAGGAGGAAGTGCCAAGTGAGTTAGTGGCTAATCCAATAGAGCACAACATGATTAATGAGGACTTTCCTTGTTTTGATCATGATTTTATCCTAGCCATTGCTACTTTAGAGAGTGAGGAGATCTTAACCACACTTGAGGAAAGAGAGAAGGAGGAGGAACTCGTAAAAGAGAGCTGTGGCGACCTTGTGGGCGGGTGTGTGTGAGCGTGTGCAGGGGGCACCAGTAGGCTACCACACTGGGCGAGCTACAGGTGCACAATCCCACATCGTCTGGGTGTGGATGGGGCAAGTGCTATATGTAGATTCAACACCCTTCTATGACACAACGCGTTTTAAAGCCGTGATGGCCGTGAACCCATCAGAACTCTATAGTTAAGCGTGCTTAACTTGGAGTAGTACCAGGATGGGTGACCCCCTGGGAAGTCTCTGGTCTGGGTGAGCCAAAAGGGGATAATATTGTGTCTGGCCAGGGTGAGGGTCGTTACAAAATGGTATCAGAGCCTGTACCCAGTCGGAAGTGTGAGTGTAGTGATGATGTGGACGGGTGTGAGTGGGCGAGTGTGTAGCACTGGTGAGCTACCACTCATAGCCGGGTGTGTGTGGGCGGATGGCATTCACCGGCAGCTACTGCGATGGTTGGTTAGTGTGGTTGGGCAGGTAGCCCAGATTTGTTAATTTTTTAGTGGGTGGGCGGGTGACGCATCGACTAGCTACCACAACGGTTACGGAGTGTGTGGGCGGGTGACTAACACTGTCAGCTACCACAACGTCCTCCATATCATTATATTTCACATCGCCTGGGGTAAGGATTTGGATTTTGGTTTTATGGTTGTTGGTATTTTCGGGTTTACAGACTGTTGGATCTGAATTTCGAGGACGAAATTCTTTTTAAGTGGTGGAGATTGTGATAACTCGATTTTATTTATTTATTTATTATTTTATGATTTTTAGATTGTCTAAATTAATTATTTATTTGTTAAAGTTAGTGGGTTTTGAAATTTAATTTAGCTTTGTAATATAACATATACATATATATATATATATATATATATATATATATATATATATTATAAGGAAGTGGGCAGCAGCGAAATGGAAGAGAAAATGAGATTTGTAGTTGGTCTGGCGCGGGTCCCACGTTTAAAGATATTAATGGGTTTTGAATTTTTATTTAATTTTGTTATATTATATATATTCATATATGTTTTAATAGATGGAGTTATATTATGTATATATATATGTATATATATATATCTATAGTAAGTTGGAAAGTGGAAAGGGAGCACTTGACCGTAATGATGAGAGAAAAAGAAAGATTGAAATTGTGATTTTTGTGGGTCCCATAACATTTGATTTGGTTTGTTTTTATTACATATATATATATATTGTATCTTGTTTTGGAAAAAAATGAGATAAGGATGGGTAAGATGGACGACTGAGAAGAAAAGAAAGGAGGAGCAGGTTGGTCACGTGGGCTGAATTGGTGTGATTGTTAAGTAATGCCAGGTTGAGATAAGAAAGAGAATGTGGTGGAAATTAGAGATAAGGAGGAAAGGTGAGAAGAGAGAGAAAATTGTAATAATTGAGGTGGTGATGTGTGTACTTGCGGGGCCCACTGAAGATTTGTTTTTGGGCCAAAAGTTTCTTGGCTTGGCTTTTTGCACGTGGTCTTTGGCTATGTTGGTGACTGATTTGGTTGCTTGTAAAGTAATGTATATAAAGTAAGTGATATATAAGAGAAAAGTAATGATAAGATTTTAACAGACCACTTTTTGACTTGGGCTTGATTTTTGTTTGGCCAAAAGTTTGGGCTTCACGTGTGTTCTGATGGAGTGTAGTAGTGGGGTTCACGTGGGTTGTTCGGTGGATTGCCTATATATTGGGTATTTGTGCATTTGATAATTATGCAAAGAACAAAAGAGCGATAAAGAAAAAGAGCAGAGAGAGAGTTTGAGAAAATTAAAGACAGTGAGTGAGTCGAGAGTTGAAAAGAAGGCCGGAGCTTGGAGCTTTGATGATTTAGTGAGGAAATTCTTTTTTAGAGTAGGGTT